CTCCACTGGCTTCCAGTTGAGGCTCGCATCTACTACAAGACCATGGTGCTTGCCTATGGAGCTGTGAGGGGAACGGCACCTCCTTACCTTCAGGCTCTGATCAGACCCTACACCCAAAGAGGGCACTACGTTCATCCACCTCTGGCCTGCTAGCTCCCCTACCTCTACGGAAGCACAGTTCCCGCTCAGCCCAGTCAAAGCTATTCGCTGCTCTGGCACCCCAATGGTGGAACAAGCTCCCCCACTACGCCAGGACAGCGGAGTCACTGACCACCTTCCGGAGACACTTGAAACCCTACCTCTTTAAGGAATACCTGGAAGAGTATAAAGTAATCCTTCTTCCCCCACCCCCCATAAAAAAAAGGTGGTTGTCCCACTGGCTATCATAAGTTGAATGCACCAATTTGTAAGTCGCTCTGGATAAGAGCGTCTGCTAAATTATGTAAATGTAAAATATAGGTTATTACTTCCTCCAGATTACCATATAAACCCCTCGTTCCATGTGTCTCTCCTCAGGCCAGTGGTGGCTGGTCCGCTCCAGGAGTATGAGGTGCGGGAGGTTCCTCCGCCCCCTCTGGACATCGAGGGGGCCCCAGCATACTCAATCCGTTCCATCCTGGATTCGAGGCGTCGGGTAGGGGGCCTTCAGTACTTCGTGGAGTGGGAGGGGTACGGTCCGGAGGAGCGGTGCTGGGTTCCGGTGAGGGATATCCTCGATCCTTCCCTATTGCGGGATTTCCACCGTCGCCATCCGGCTCGCCCTGCTCCGCGTGCTCCTGGCCGTCCCCGAGGCCTGTGTCGGCGCGCTGCTGGAGCTGCGCGTCAAGGGGGGGGGGGGGGGGGGGGGGTACTGTCATGACTTCCTCCGAAGCTGCCACCTCTCCTTGTTCAGGCAGGCTTCGGAGTTCGTCGTCACCGGCCTTCTAGGCACTGCCGCTCCTCATCTCATCATTCCATTTGTTTTGTCTTGTTTATTACACACACCTGGTTCATATCCCCTCATCAGTACCTGTATAAGTGTTCCCTCTGCCCCCTTGTCTTTGTGTGTGATTGTTTATTGTGGAGGATAGAGAAGCTCGGTGGAGCTCCGTGTATTTTGTATCGCCAGGAATATTCACCGTGTGCCTTGTATTTTCCAGTGCTGTTTTGTACCCTGGAGTGTTTTGATGCATTACTGCGTAACTCTGTGTTTCAGAATAAATCTGTTATTCTGTGATTTACCCTACTGCGCCTGACTCCTTCGTAATCACCTCATCACACACAGCCCCCGCAAGACGGGGTGGGGGGGGGGGGGGGCGGTGGGACCTACGAGCTCTGGGGGCCTATGCGCCTGTCATGTTACTGTCAAATAAATCATTTTGACAGTAACTCTCCAAAAAGTCATAAACCTTGTTCATTTCCATATGTACTAGGAAGTGTTTTTTTCTTGGGCTTCAGGAATGTGACTGAAAAAGTACCTCAGGCATTGGAAAAATAACAAATTTAACTGATTGAAAGTAAGGGAATATCGATGAACAAATGCCGTGGTCAAGGCTACGACGGCACCAGTGCAATAAATGTGGAGCTTACTCAGGTGTTCAAAAGCGCATATCAGACCGAGAGCTTCTTAGGTAGTTCTTTATGAGTTTTAGTTTAGAAAACGATCTCTCTGCAGAAGCGACAGTAACAGGGATGGTAAAAACTGCTTGATTGCCGTAACAACATCAGAGAAACTGGGCAGAAGGGAGTAGTGTTTCAAATACATCAGTTCTGCAACATCTTCAAATCAAATCAAATTGCAATTGTTACATGCGCGGAATACAACAGGTGTAGACCTTACAGTGAAATGCTTACTTACAAGCCCTTAACCAACAATGCAGTTTTAAGAAAAATATAAGTGTTAAGTAAACAATAGATAAGTACAAAATAAAAGCAGTAAAATAACAGCAGCGAGGCTATATACAGGGGGTACCGGTACAGAGTCAATGTGCGGGGGCACCGGTTAGTCGAGGTAATTGGGTAATAAAATGTTTGTACATGTACTGTAGGTACAGTGAGTGGCGCAGTGGTCTAAGGCACTGCATCGCAGTGCTAGCTGTGCCACTAGAGATCCTGGTTTGAATCCAGGCTCTGTCGTAGCCGGCCGCGACCGGGAGACCCATGGGGCGGCGCACAATTGGCCCAGCGTCGTCCAGGGTAGGGTAGGGGAGGGAATGGCCGGCAGGGATTTAGCTCAGTTGGTAGAGCATGGCATTTGCAACGCCAGGGTTGTGGGTTCGATTCCAGTATAAAAATAAAATAAAATGTATGCACTCACTAACTGTAAGTCGCTCTGGATAAGAGCGTCTGCTAAATTACTAAAATGTAAACGTTAAAGTGACTATGCATAGATGATAAACAGAGAGTAGCAGCAGCATAAAAGAGGGGGGAGTGATGAGCCTCTCATTCTCCTTAATTTCTCCTTTATAAATAGCACCTACAGTGAAGGAAAAAAGTATTTGATCCCCTGCTAATTTTGTACGTTTGCCCACTGACAAAGACATGATCAGTCTATAATTTTAATGGTAGGTTTATTTGAACAGTGAGAGACAGAATAACAACAACAAAAATCCAGAAAAAACGCATGTCAAAAATGTTATAAATTGATTTGCATTTTAATGAGGGAAATAAGTATTTGACCCCTCTGCAAAACATGACTTAGTACTTGGTGGCAAAACCCTTGTTGGAAATCACAGAGGTCAGACGTTTCTTGTAGTTGGTCACCAGGTTTGCACACATCTCAGGAGGGATTTTGTTCCACTCCTCTTTGCAGATCTTCTCCAAGTCATTAAGGTTTCGAGGCTGACATTTGGCAACTCAAACCTTCAGCTCCCTCCACAGATTTTCTATGGGATTAAGGTCTGGAGACTGGCTAGGCCACTCCAGGACCTTAATGTGCTTCTTCTTGAGCCACTCCTTTGTTGCCTTGGCCGTGTGTTTTGGGTCATTGTCATGCTGGAATACCCATCCACGACCCATTTTCAATGCCCTGGCTGAGGGAAGGAGGTTCTCATCCAAAGATTTGACGGTACATGGCCCCGTCCATCATCCCTTTGATGCGGTGAAGTTGTCCTGTCCCCTTAGCAGAAAAACACCCCCAAAGCATAATGTTTCCACCTCCATGTTTGACGGTGGGGATGGTGTTCTTGGGGTCATAGGCAGCATTCCTCCTCCTCCAAACACGGCGAGTTGAGTTGATGCCAAAGAGCTCGATTTTGGTCTCATCTGACCACAACACTTTCACCCAGTTCTCCTCTGAATCATTCAGATGTTCATTGGCAAACTTCAGACGGCCCTGTATATGTGCTTTCATGAGCAGGGGGACCTTGCGGGCGCTGCAGGATTTCAGTCCTTCACGGCGTAATGTGTTACCAATTGTTTTCTTGGTAACTATGGTCCCAGCTGCCTTGAGATCATTGACAAGATCCTCCCGTGTAGTTCTGGGCTGATTCCTCACCGTTCTCATGATCATTGCAACTCCACGAGGTGAGATCTTGCATGGAGCCCCAGGCCGAGGGAGATTGACAGTTATTTTGTGTTTCTTCCATTTGCGAATAATCGCACCAACTGTTGTCACCTTCTCACCAAGCTGCTTGGCGATGGTCTTGTAGCCCATTCCAGCCTTGTGTAGGTCTACAATCTTGTCCCTGACATCCTTGGAGAGCTCTTTGGTCTTGGCCATGGTGGAGAGTTTGGAATCTGATTGATTGATTGCTTCTGTTGACAGGTGTCTTTTATACAGGTAACAAGCTGAGATTAGGAGCACTCCCTTTAAGAGTGTGCTCCTAATCTCAGCTCGTTGCCTGTATAAAAGACACCTGGGAGCCAGAAATCTTTATGATTGAGAGGGGGTCAAATACTTATTTCCCTCATTAAAATGCAAATCAATTTATAACATTTTTGACATGGGTTTTTCTTGATTTTTGTTTGTTTGTTATTCTGTCTCTCACTGTTCAAATAAACTTACCATTAAAATTATAGACTGATCATTTCTTTGTCAGTGGGAAAACGTACAAAATCAGCAGGGGATCAAATACTTTTTTCCCTCACTGTAAATAGCAGCTAAATATGGTAGGCTATATAGCTATAGATCGTAGACTACACTGCATAATGAAACAATCCCTAGTAAGCTAGTGTTTTGAGGGTGGACTGACTGTATTATTTGGCATTAATAGACTGGTTTTACGCACAACAACTCTATGCCTGCCATGAAAGTCTCCCAGTTGCTTTGAATGTTCAAAATCATAGTGTAAGAACACTTTTAAAGCCTCAAAGGATAAGATGATCCAACTTTCAAAACCTTTTTGGCTAGCGACAGCAGTCAACTAGCTAGCTAGGTAGCTGTTTAGCTAGCTAGCACATTCACTCATTTGTTTGTAAACAATTAACAAGTTAGTGTTGTTCTTGTCAAACTGTCAACAGAGTAGCTAGCTAGTTGTAACAAGATATATCAAATTAGTCTACAAACCACTTGAGGACAAATAAATCAGATCTGACCATTCAGACACAAGTCATATGGCAGGAATCAGATTTGTATCTAATTTCAAACCACCTATGAAGGTGGTTTGAAATGTGGTCAGAAATATCTTGATTCCATGTGCTTTTTGGCTGTTCCGACTGCAGGAAAAAGATCATACAAAACATTTGAGTCATATACAAAAACAATTGAGTCACTTCAAACTGCCAGTGTGAACAAGGCTTTAGAGACTGATAGGGGCCAATAGACCATGTAGGGACTGAATACATTTGACCCAAATGTATGTGCAATGTGTAAAATGTCATTGTCTTCAGTGAATTCAACTTCTGTACATTTCAGAATGAGACCATTGCTTTACCTCCGGTTTTTTATAATTTAACAATTTCAGCATACTGGAATGGCATCATACTGGAATTTATGCAATTTGAGCCTTTTTGCAGCAGCTGTGTTTAGCTAGCCTAAATAAATAAAGACTACATTTTCAATGACGCTCCACCCACAGGAAGTGATTCTTTCTACACACGCGACCTTGGATTCATTTCAAATTACGTTTTCCAACAAGTCCGCAGCATGGCGAATAAAGAGCCCGGTGTAAGTTGACCCCATCCTTTTTAGCAGCTAGTGAATACACTAGCTACATGATTTATTGTGTAATTAACTTGGTGCAATAACTTATGCAATAATGAACATAAACGGAACGCCGTAGAGGCAACCATGTTAGCTAGCTTTGCAACCTAGCATAAGCTTTTGAATGATAGCTCGCAAGCAACTTGTGAGGTAGACCATTTAGATTCTTATAGAAAGGCAGGCTAAAATAGCTAATATCACAGTTACTGAGTACGACGTCCAAATGCCTCGTGCTGTTGCAAGTATACTGCCCATTTGAGTATCTTTGCTAGCTACTAACGTTAGTCCACACCCCCTTGTTTTGTAACTGAGACGTGTGCAAAATCGTAAACGTTCCTTACAAGCCAGAATGTTGAATAACATTACAATATACTCGTACTGGATGTATGTGCCGTTTCGCCTTCTGCAGCTCGAAATTTGAGATAAAATAGAGCTCCACAGTGGAGGTGTTATAATGGCAATAGAACCTAGCGGTCAAACAGGGAAATGGTTGTAATCGTTTTTCCACCATTCAATTTTCCCATATGGGATTTTAGAAACACTTATGGTCTCTGTTTAGTGTCGGCTTACCCTGGCGTGACGTTTTGATAACGAGACTGCCGAATCGAGCCTAAGGTAAGAATCTATGATGGACTATCTAATGTTAGTTATCGACCCAGAACATATCAGTTTTTCCGCTGGAACCATTGAATCACTGGACCTTTAACTCCGGATTCGTCGCTACCAGCTAGCTACAACAAAACGGACGCTGTGGTCTGGCTAATTATCCTGAGCTAAGCCCATCTCCCGGCTATCTACCTCTCTGTCAACCGGACGGGACCACCTAGTATTGACACGGAGCCCCGCCGATCCTACACGACTGGTCTGCCGACGAAATCGTCTGATGTGGTTACGACGTTAACCACGAAGATTCCATCCATCTGCTAGCCCCGGCCCGCTAGCACACGCTAGCCGTGGCCTCTTACTCACTAGTTTACCACCGGACCTTATGATAACTCAGCTATACAGCTGATATCTGCTGGACTGTTCCTTTTTACGGTACTACATCCTGTTTATGTTTAGCCTCAGCCCAAACATGGTTAGTTTATTGTTGTTTCGGTTATTTCTAATTGTACTATATCACTGCAGACCCCCCAGCCTAGCTAAACTTGCCTTAGATAGCTCCTTTGCACCTCCTCCAATACACGCGGAGACCGACTCAATTTATGCCTCTAGAGATACCTCCAGCGATGCTATCTCTTTCATTGTTACCCAACGCTTAGGTTTACCTCCACTTTACTCATATCCTTCCATATCCTTGTCTGTACATAATGCCCTGAATCTTTTCTATAACACCCGGAAATCTGCCCCCTTTATTCTATGTACCCAACGCACTAGAAGACCAGTTCTTAAAGCCTTTAGCCGTATCCTTATTCTAGTCCTCCTCTGTTCCTCTGGTGATGTAGAGGCTAACCCAGGCCCTGCAGCCCTCAGTATCACTCCTACTCCCCAGGCGCTATCATTTGATGACTTCTGTAATCGCAAAAGTCTTGGTTTCTTGCACATAAATATCAGAAGTCTACTTCCTAAGTTTGAGTTATTCACTGCGTTAGCACACTCTGCCAACCCTGATGTTCTAGCAGTGTCTGAATCCTGGCTCAGGAAGGCCACCATAAATTCTGAAATTTCCATCCCCAACTATAACATTTTCCGTCTAGATAGAACTGCCAAAGGGGGTGGAGTTGCAATCTACTGTAGAGATAGCCTGCAGAGCTCTATCATACTATCCAGGTCTGTGCCCAAACAGTTTGAGCTTCTACTTTTAAAAATCCACCTTTCCAGAAATAAGTCTCTCACTGTTGCCGCTTGCTACAGACCCCCCTCAGCCCCCAGCTGTGCCCTGGACACCATATGTGAATTGATCGCCCCCCATTTATCCTCAGAGTTTGTACTGCTTGGTGACCTAAATTGGGATATGCTTAATACCCCAGCCATCCTACAATCCAAGCTAGATGCCCTCAACCTCACGCAAATTATCAACGAACCTACCAGGTACAACCCAAAATCCGTAAACATGGGTACCCTCATAGATATCATCCTGACTAACATACCCTCTAAATACACCTCAGCTGTCTTCAACCAGGATCTCAGCGATCACTGCCTTATTGCCTGCGTCCGTAACGGGTCCGCGGTCAAACGACCACCCCTCATCACTGTCAAACGCTCCCTAAAACACTTTAGCGAGGAGGCCTTCCTAATTGACCTGGCCCAGGTATCCTGGATGGATATAGATCTCATTCCGTCAGTAGAGGATGCCTGGTTGTTCCTTAAAAGTAATTTCCTCTCAATCTTAAATAAACATGCCCCATTCAAAAAATACAGAACTAAGAACCGATATAGCCCCTGGTTCTCCTCAGACTTGACTGCCCTTGACCAGCACAAAAACATCCTGTGGCGTACAGCATTAGCATCAAATAGCCCCCGCGATATGCAACTTTTCAGGGAAGTTAGGAACCAATATACACAAGCAGTCAGGAAAGCAAAGGCTAACTTTTTCAAACAGAAATTTGCATCCTGTAGCACTAACTCCAAAAAGTTTTGGGACACTGTAAAGTCCATGGAGAATAAGAGCACTTCCTCCCAGCTGCCCACTGCACTGAGGCTAGGAAACACTATCACCACCGATAAATCTACAATAATCGAGAATTTCAACAAGCATTTTGCTACAGCTGGCCATGCTTTCCATCTGGCTACCACTAACCCGGCCACCAACTCTGCACCCTCTGCTGCAACTTGCCCATGCCCCCCCCGCTTCTCCTTCACACAAATTCAGACAGCTGATGTTTTGAAAGCGCTGCAAAATCTGGACCCCTACAAATCAGCTGGGCTAGACAATCTGGACCCTTTCTTTCTAAAACTAGCCGCTGAAATTGTCGCTAACCCTATTACTAGTCTGTTTAACCTCTCTTTCATAATGTCTGAGATCCCCAGAGATTGGAAAGCTGCCGCGGTCATCCCCCTCTTCAAAGGGGGTGACACTCTAGATCCAAACTGCTACAGACCTATATCCATCCTGCCCTGCCTTTCGAAAGTATTCGAAAGCCAAGTTAACAAACAGATCATCGACCATTTCGAATACCACCGTACCTTCTCCGCTATGCAATCCGGTTTCCGAGCTGGTCACGGGTGCACTTCAGCCACGCTCAAGGTCCTAAACGATATTATAACCGCGATTGATAATAGACAGTACTGTGCAGCTGTCTTCATCGACCTGGCCAAGGCTTTCGACTCTGTCAACCACCGCATTCTTATTGGCAGACTAAATAGCCTTGGTTTCTCAAATGACTGCCTCGCCTGGTTCACCAACTACTTCTCAGATAGAGTTCAGTGTGTCAAATCGGAGGGCCTGTTGTCTGGACCTATGGCAGTCTCTATGGGGGTGCCACAGGGTTCAATTCTTGGGCCGACACTTTTCTCCGAGGACATTGCGTTCATCCACCTCTGGCCTGCTGGCTCCCCTTCCTCTGCGGAAGCACAGCTCCCCCTCAGCCCAGTCAAAACTGTTCGCTGCTCTGGCACCCCAATGGTGGAACAAGCTCCCTCACGACGCCAGGACAGCGGAGTCACTCACCACCTTCCGGAGACATTTGAAACCCCACCTCTTTAAGGAATACCTGGGATAGGCTAAAGTATTCCTTCTAACCCCCCCCAAATTGTAAAGTGGTTATCCCACTGGCTATAGGGTGAACGCACCAATTTGTGAGTCGCTCTGGCTAAGAGCGTCTGCTAAATGACGTTAATGTGCCCTTGAGCAAGGCACTTAACCCTAATTGCTCCTGTAAGTCGCTCTGGTTAAGAGCGTCTGCTAAATGACTAAAATGTAAATGTAAATGTATATATCAATGATGTCGCTCTTGCTGCTGGTGACTCTCTGATCCACCTCTACGCAGACGACACCATTTTGTATACATCTGGCCCTTCATTGGACACTGTGTTAACAAACCTCCAAACGAGCTTCAATGCCATACAACAATCCTTCAGTAGCCTCCAACTGCTCTTAAACACTAGTAAAACTAAATGCATGCTTTTCAATCGAACGCTGCTGGCACCCGCCCACCCGACTAGAATCACCACTCTCGACGGGTCTGACCTAGAGTATGTGGACAACTACAAATACCTAGGTGTCTGGTTAGACTGTAAACTCAACTTCCAGACTCACATAAAGAATCTCCAATCCAAAGTTAAATCTAGAATCGGCTTCCTATTTCGCAATAAAGCCTCCTTCACTCATGCTGCCAAACATGCCCTCGTAAAACTGACTATCCTACCGATCCTTGACTTCGGCGATGTAATTTACAAAATAGCCTCCAACACTCTACTCAGCAAATTGGATGTAGTCTATCACAGTGCCATCCGTTTTGTCTCCAAAGCCCCATACACTACCCACCACTGTGACCTGTACGCTCTTGTTGGCTGGTCCTCACTACATGTTCGTCGTCAAACCCACTGGCTCCAGGCCATCTATAAATCACTGCTAGGCAAATCCCCGCCTTATCTTAGCTCATTGGTCACCATAGCAGCACCCACCCGTAGTCTACGCTCCAGCAGGTATATCTCACTGGTCATTCCCAAAGCCAACACCTCCTTTGGCCGCCATTCCTTCCAGTTCTCTGCTGCCAATGACTGGAACGAATTGCAAAAATCTCTGAAGCTGGAGACTCTTATCTCCCTTAATAACTTTAAGCATCAGTTGTCAGAGCACCTTACCGATCACTGCACCTGTACACAGCCCATCCGAAATTAGCCCACCCAACTACCTCATCCCTATATTATTTATTTTGCTCTTTTGCACCCCAGTATCTCTATTTGCACATAATCTCTTGCACATCTAGCATTCCAGTGTTAATACTATTGTAATTATTCTGCACTATAGCCTATTTATTGCCTTACCTCCATAACTTGCTACATTTGCACACACTGTATATATATTTTCTGTTGTATTTTCTGACTTTATGTTTTTTTTACCCCATATGTAACTCTGTTGTTTTTATTGCACTACTTTGCTTTATCTTGGCCAGGTCGCAGTTGTAAATGAGAACTTGTTCTCAACTGGCTTACCTGGTTAAATAAAGGTGAAATAAAAAAAAAATAAAAAAAATGTAGTAATGAATAAATTGGGTACATTTCTTTAAATGGACAATTCTGTGAACTGTCTTGTGCAAGTTTTAAATTGACACAATACATGTTAGCAAAGGTGTCGGCTAGAGATGACGTGCATTGATGCCAATTACCATTTTTTAAATCAGAGTAAATGAAGCTATATATATTTATTAAGCAAAAAAAGAAACGTCCCCTTTTCAGGACCCTGTCTTTCAAAGATAATTCGTAAAAATCCAAATAACTTCACAGATCTTCATTGTAAAGGGTTTAACACTGTTTCCCATGCTTGTTCAATGAACCATAAACAATTAATGAACATGCACCTGTGGAGTTATGAAGACTTAGGATACTAAAGAGGCCTTTCTACTGACTCTGAAAAACACCAAAAGAAAGATGCCCAGGGTCCCTGCTCATCTGCGTGAACGTGCCTTAGGCATGCTGCAAGGATGCATGAGGACTGCAGATGTGGCCAGGGCAATAAATTGCAATGTCTGTACTGTGAGACGCCTAAGACAGCGCTACAGGGAGACAGCACGGACAGCTGATCGTCCTCACAGTGGCAGACCATGTGTAACAACACCTGCACAGGATCGGTACATCCGAACATCACACCTGCGGGACAGGTACAGGATGGCAACAACTGCCCAAGTTACCCCAGGAATGCACAATCCCTCCATCAGTGCGCAGACTGTCCGCAATAGGCTGAGAGAGGCTAGACTGTGGGCTTGTAGGCCTGTTGTAAGGCAGGTCCTCACCAGACATCACCGGCAACAACGTTGCCTATGGGCACAAACCCACAGTCGCTGGACAGGACTGGCAAAAAGTGCTCTCCCTGTCTCACCAGGGGTGATGGTCGGATTCGCGTTTATCGTCGACGGAATGAGCGTTACACCGAGGACTGTACTCTGGAGCGGGATCGAGGTGGAGGGTCCGTCATGGTCTGGGGCGGTGTGTCACAGCATCATCGGACTGAGCTTGTCAGTGCAGGAAATCTCAACGCTGTGCGTTACAGGGAAGACATCCTCCTCCCTCATGTGGTACCCTTCCTGCAGGCTCATCCTGACATGACCCTCCAGCATGACAATGCCACCAGCCATACTGCTTGTTCTGTGTGTGATTTCCTGTACTACAGGAATGTCAGTGTTCTGCCATGGCCAGCGAAGAGCCCGGATCTCAATCCCATTGAGCATGTCTGGGACCTGTTGTATCGGAGGGTTAGGGCTAGGGCCATTCCCCCCCAGAAGTAGTTATTTTGTCAAATTTCAAGCAGCAAAAGGAAAAACTGCACTACCGGTATCGTAACTTTAAATGTAATTTTATTCAATATTGTGGCTTGTAAGGAACATTTTACGATTTTGCACACGTCTTGGGCTGTATATACCAATTAATTGTGTATTAGAGCCTGATTTTAATCAGACCATAATAACACTAGCTACAGATTTTGCTAGTAGTAGATCATGTTACACAATCTATTTTGAAGTACGCTCGCTCTTATGTGATAACCACATGCTCTTAAAGTCCAGCTAGCTACCACTGTGACTGATGTCATCTCTGATGTCTGTGACTGACCTGTAAGCTGCCATTGTTTTAAGTTTTCTCTCCCTCCATCTTACAGGGTTTGCTAGGGCAGTTGAGGCAGATTGCTAGCAGAATGGGCTCTGGTCCAAAGGGTGCAGGTCTCGGGGTCAAGCTGCTTATAGGGGCAGGAGCACTTGCCTATGGAGTCAAGGAAGCCACCTACACAGGTAAGGACAAGACATACTATTAGAGCCTGACCAATGTATCGTTTGACTGATATTAGCCTTTCACCGATATATATTTGTATCAGTCTTTATTCTACGGATAAAGCGCCGATAGAATGAACAAATACTTCTGCGAATCAAATGCTTTAATGTTCAATGGTTGCCTGAAGAGGGCACGCTATGTGAGCTGCTCATTGAATATCATTCAGCCCTAGGTTATAACGTGAGAGTATGGTGGTTTGACGGTGAGTAGCCTGCACTGCCAGAGCATTTAAATAATCAAAAGTACACTTCACCAAGCAAGCAGGGTTGTCCTTATCATGTCCTCACTTAGCTGGATAGTTAACTGGCTAGGTAACCATTGAAAAGCTAGACAGCAGGGTGGTAGTTAGCCTAGCTAGCTAGCAATCCTTTGCTGCTGATGTGCTAACAGCTGTTAGCTAGTGCTGGACTGGCGCATAAGTGAACTCGTCTTTGACTTACCGTATTGGTCCGAATATAAGACGGCCTTTTTTCCCCTCGAAATAGGTCCAAAAAAGTCGGGTCGTCTTATATTCGGGGTCTAGTATTCAGAGCGCAGTTTCTCTTCTTCGGCGCTCCCTTTAAATGTCAATACACATTCGCGGGCACAGATGGCGCCAAAAATTCGTTCCGGACGGAGGGAAGAGGCGTCCTTAACAACCAGCCCGTTACCGGTGTTTAAAGATGGAAAGACAGGCTGACCATTTAGAGACAAGTGGCTCAAAAGTGGGCCAGGTCAATAAACAACAGCGGAGGAGCTATGATGCCAATTTCAAAATAATGGTTGTCAATAAGGCAGAGTCATCTAACAACTGCCAAGCTGCCAAGACATTCGGGGTCACTGAGTGTAATGTAAGAAGATGGCGAGCAGAAAAACAACGTCTAAAAGATGCTAACAGTCAGCGAAAATCCTTCCGTGGTCCTCAAAGTGGTCGTTTCATTGAGGTTGACCGGAGGGTTTTTGAATATGTCAGGGAAAAAAGAAGTGAGGGAATGCCCATTACCAGAGCTGTCATCCAGGTTAAGGCCCTGGAAATCGCCAGAGAGCTCAACATCACTGGATTTAAAGCCAGCCTCGGCTGGTGTCGTAGGATGATGCGGCGTAATGGACTGTCACTTAGACGGAGAACGAGTTTGGCCCAACGCCTGCCGTCAGACTTCGGAGAGAAGCTGCTTTCGTTTCAGCGCTTTGTTATCAACCTGAGGAAGAAGCACTCCTACCCGCTGGATCAGATCGGCAATGCTGATCAGACACCCGTTTATTTCGACATGCCAACATCGGTGACTGTCAATAGAAAGGGAGAAAAGTCTGTGTTGGTGAAATCAACGGGCAACGAGAAGAGCCGCGTCACTGTCATGTTGACATGTCTCGCTGGTGGCAGCAAACTCCCCCCGTATGTCATTCTTAAGCGTAAGACTGTGCCAAAGGACCCAATGCCAGCTGGCATTATTGTGCGCGCCCAGGAGAAGGGCTGGATGGAGTCGGGGCTTGTAGTGGACTGGCTAAAGGTTGTGTGGGGCGCACGCTACGGGGGACTGAGGAAGAGGAGGAACATGCTCGTTCTGGATGCGTTCCGCGGACATCTGACTGAGCCCGTGAAAAGTCAGGTGCGAGCAATGAACGGGGATCTTGTGATCATACCAGGGGGAATGACAAGCCAGCTACAGGTGTTGGACGTAGTTGTGAACAAGCCTTTCAAGGATAACCTGCGAAAAAAAATACACAGAGTGGCTCCTGTCTGGCAACCACGCACTCACACCGACCGGGAAAATACAGAAGCCGTCAGTCCGTCTACTGTGTGAATGGATCCTGCATGCATGGGATGCTATTCCCTCACAGAGCATCATCGATGGCTTTAAAAAATGTTGCATCTCAAATGCATTGGACGGCAGCGAGGACGACGTGCTTTGGGAGGAGCCGGTGGAAGCGGAGCAGCTGGGGAGCGATGACAGCGAGAGCGAACACAGCGGGGCAGAGGACGTGTGTGAGGGATAGAGAGACATCGGAGGAGAAGTTTGGCGAATTTTTGTTAAGTTTAGTTAAATGTGTGGCCTGTATTTTCTCTGTTATTTAAAAATGTTGCTTTATTATTGCTTGATATTAATTTTGAATCATACTGTACATAGTTTGCCTTTGTGTTTAATTCACTGTGTTTTTAATATTGTTATTTTAAAATAAAATGAAGTTCTTTGTTCGGCAAATCTAGTCTGCAAATCTGTTTTTCTAAATGTTTGTGTTGAAAAACGGGGGGTCGTCTTATAATCAGGGTCGTCTTATATTCGGACCAATACGGTAATACAAAAATAACACTGTTACTGTCTGGGCCTATTATGTGTCGGTTTAGTTCGTTTTCCGAAATATGCAATCTACAAAAAGCAAGACAGTTGGTGCAGTTCCTTTAGTCCATGTGCTTGCATGAGATAAGGTTGTTATAACTAGCCAGCTAGCTTGCTAAATTACAATGCATGTTACTAAAACCAGTGCAAGCGTTTGCCTGCATAAACATTTTTAGTCAGCTGTTGCTTCAGTATATCCACATAATTTCCTTACTCGTGATGCCATCTATTTTGTGTAGTGCACCAGGCCCTCCTGCAGCAAAGCACCCCCACAGCATGATGCTGTCACCCCTGTGTGTCACGGCAACAGCTCAAGACATCAGTCAGGAAGTTAAAGCTTTGTCGCAAAATGGTCTTCCAAATGGACAATGACCCCAAGCATACTTCCAGAGTTGTGGCAAAATGGCTTCTCAATCCTATAGAACATTTGTGGGCAGAACTGAAAAAGCGTATGCGAGCAAGGAGGCCTTCAAACCTGACTCAGTTACTCCACCTCTGTCAGGAGGAATGGGCCAAAATTCATCCAACTTATTGTGGGAAGCTTGTGGAAGGCTACACAAAACGTTTAACCAAGTTAAACAATTTTTTAAAGGCAATGCTACCAAATACTAATTGAGTATGTAAACTTCTGACCCACTGGGAATGTGATGAAGGAAATAAAAGCTGAAATAAATAATTCTCTCCTAATTATTCTGACATTTCACATTCTTAAAATAAAGTGGTGATCCTAACTGACCTAAGACAGGGAATTTTTACCAGGATTAAATGTCAAGAATTGTGAAAAACTGAGTTTAAATGTATTTGGCTAAGGTGTATGTAAACTTCGGACTTCTTCAACTGTAAAGACTGCAGCTTCCTTTTCAGTTTCGCTCCCAGAGCTTGAGGAAAGGTCTTCTCTTGTTCGCTTCGATGTATCAGATATCTTTTCCGAGCATATCAAAATGCTGATCAAAAAATCAACAAATGTTGCATAAACGAGTTCTCTAATCAAACCAAATTGCACAGAATAATTTCAAACTAAAACGTATCGTTCCTGTATTGGAGCCCATGTATCTAGATACGTATTGCATCGTCTTGAAAGGGAAAGATGCATATCTTTAGTATTTAGATACATGGGCTACGATACAGGAACAATACGTTTTAGTTTGAAAATATTTGGTTTGATTAGAAAACAAATCGATGTACTAACATTTGTTGCGTAAACACATTCCTTTTCCATTCTAAATTTAAAATCTGCTGCTGATGGAGTTCATGAGCTGGATCTGTCTGAGCTGACTTCTCTGTTTGTGTGTGTAAATGATGTATGTACTAAATTATATATGCACCTGAGCTGAGCCATAAAGAAGACTAGGGATGTACCACCCCACTATCAGATTAGAGAGGGCAGTGTAGCATATGTTTTGGGGGTTCTGAAATCACCATCACCCATTAATTCAACTTGTAATTATTGCAGATGTAAATGTTTGAGCTAGTAATGTATCCATATTTATCGTTTACAACTTAGCTATGACATAGCCAATGTGGTAAATATTCAACTTTGGATTTTACCACTTGGAAGTTTAAGAAGTGATCTCCTCTCGCTTAGGCCATGCAAAATTGATTGGTGTCCTCGTTAAGAAATGACTTACTTTACCCTGTCTAAAAATGACCATATACACTGATTGTTTAAAGCAAAACTATTGCAGATGGTGAATCTGAACAATCCAAATAAAATCTATTGTAAGCCCGTTCAGCAGGTATAGCCAGTTGAGAGTTGTTTCCCGGTAGGTTACTTTTTATTCCCCGGTGAAACACCATTTTCAACTGAACATAGAGAACCATAACCTAGAAAATGACATAGGTTGTCACTCAACTAAATAAAACCTAATCACGCAAGCCGCTTTAGCATTTGAATGCTGAAGGTGCTGCACAGATGTGCAAGATCAGGAACAGGCTGCCTACCTCGCGTTGGTCAGCGCGCGAAGCTGGGCATAGTGCGCAGTTTGACTAGGCTACTGATATTGCCTGGGGTTGTTCGTCATGCAAAATGACTTGTAGGTCAATACAGTTACGCATTAGTGCTCACAAAAGATGAGGTATTTTCGAAGGTAGAATGTAATGTAATGTAATATAATAATATGCCATTTAGCAGACGCTTTTATCCAAAGCGACTTAGTCATGCGTGCATACATTTTTACGTATGGGTGGTCCCGGGGATCGAACCCACTACCCTGGCGTTACAAGCGCCATGCCCTACCAATTGAGCCCCCCCCACAAAAAATAGTGAACTGGTGATTTTGTAATGTTTTTAAATACATTTTCTGACTAAAGCATGCTACATTTTGATCGGTTTGGGGTCCGGGGACCGACGCACTTGCATCTTAAACATTTGAATCGGAGACTGAAGCGTATCGGTGAATCATTACATCCCATATATATATATATATATATATATATTTATTTATTTATTTGCATAATCATCATTTGTATGGGGAATGGTGGCCATTGGCGTGACTTACCCCAAGGCAAACATTTTGACTATATTAGCCCACACAGCTACAAGGATGCACTTTCATGCTACATGAAAACATTAATTATTTTAGCAGACGCTCTTATCCAGAGCGACTTACAGTGGTGAGTGAATACATTTTCGTACTGGTCCTCCATGGGAATCGAATCCACAACCCTGGCTTTTAGGACCTCCATATTGTAGCTTATAGAGACCCCAACTGATGTACAAAACATCTTGAAACGATCATATTCGGGGTCTAGTATTCAGAGCGCAGTTTCTCTTCTTCGGCGCTCCCTTTAAATGTCAATACACATTCGCGGGCACAGATGGCGCCAAAAATTCGTTCCGGACGGAGGGAAGAGGCGTCCTTAACAACCAGCCCGTTACCGGTGTTTAAAGATGGAAAGACAGGCTGACCATTTAGAGACAAGTGGCTCAAAAGTGGGCCAGGTCAATAAACAACAGCGGAGGAGCTATGATGCCAATTTCAAAATAATGGTTGTCAATAAGGCAGAGTCATCTAACAACTGCCAAGCTGCCAAGACATTCGGGGTCACTGAGTGTAATGTAAGAAGATGGCGAGCAGAAAAACAACGTCTAAAAGATGCTAACAGTCAGCGAAAATCCTTCCGTGGTCCTCAAAGTGGTCGTTTCATTGAGGTTGACCGGAGGGTTTTTGAATATGTCAGGGAAAAAAGAAGTGAGGGAATGCCCATTACCAGAGCTGTCATCCAGGTTAAGGCCCTGGAAATCGCCAGAGAGCTCAACATCACTGGATTTAAAGCCAGCCTCGGCTGGTGTCGTAGGATGATGCGGCGTAATGGACTGTCACTTAGACGGAGAACGAGTTTGGCCCAACGCCTGCCGTCAGACTTCGGAGAGAAGCTGCTTTCGTTTCAGCGCTTTGTTATCAACCTGAGGAAGAAGCACTCCTACCCGCTGGATCAGATCGGCAATGCTGATCAGACACCCGTTTATTTCGACATGCCAACATCGGTGACTGTCAATAGAAAGGGAGATGTTGCTTTATTATTGCTTGATATTAATTTTGAATCATACTGTACATAGTTTGCCTTTGTGTTTAATTCACTGTGTTTTTAATATTGTTATTTTAAAATAAAATGAAGTTCTTTGTTCGGCAAATCTAGTCTGCAAATCTGTTTTTCTAAATGTTTGTGTTGAAAAACGGGGGGTCGTCTTATAATCAGGGTCGTCTTATATTCGGACCAATACGGTACTTTGGTTTAGATACAAGCATCATGAAATCTAAAACACATTAATTTGACTTTGTGAAAATCTGTTTTTTGGACCGAACTTGCTTAGCACTTTTTCCATGTGGTTTCTTCCTTCAGACTCATGAAATGATGACCTCTTCCTAAATATTTGGTCACATGATACATTTTGTGTATGGTTTCATAGAAACAAGGGTTGGCTCAACTTACCACCCTCTTCCCTATCACAGAGTTTTGTGCCTATACTTACAACGTGATCGCTGCAAGACCAAGTTTAGCCTCGCACTTCAATGCTCAAAGTTGTTGTGGAAATCAACCGTATATTGCTATTTATGTCATGCATTGCTGACTCTACCTTTTTTAATGGTAATGGACAACCTTTAGCTGGGATAACATTGTAAATTAAAGGAGAATTGGGGGAGGGTGACCTTACTGCTTGACAGACTAGAGACAACACTGCGCTACAAGGACCCAAGGGCTCTTTCTCAATCTTAACTCGATTCCTCTCTCCTTTACTCACCACCTTCTCAAATACATTGGAGGAAAGGTTCAAAAGTAGAGTTATTGGATGTTCTCCAATGCGACATAAAGAGAGAGGACGCGAGTAGAGGAAAGGCATTGAGAAAGAGCAGTGTTGTCTCTTGCTTGTCAAACAGTACGGACCCCTCCCGCAATTCAACCTTCATTCACACGGCTATCCCGGGGAGTTGTCAGGACATTTTCTATTAACACTATTGCATCAGTGGGGGACTAGTTGCGCGTATGTCTTTACATCCTCATTACCCCTGGATCACATGTTTGAATCGTCATTGATAGACTGTATTGCAACTGGTTTTAAATGAGTTGTTCCTTTTCTCCTCAGTGGAAGGTGGTCAGAGGGCCATAATCTTCAACAGGATTGGTGGGATGCAGATGGACACGGTACTCGCTGAGGGGCTCCACTTTAGGTAGGTGTCCTTCATTATCGCTGACCTCTCACCTTTGACCTCTTTGACTGGCAGTGCAGAGTTTGGTCGTGTTCATTAGGCTCATAATGGAAGAAAACTGACTGAAATAGGGAAGGACTACCTGCACATGTCCAATAAGAAACTCATGTTCGTTTTCCTTTGCAAAACGTTTTAATGTTTTCTGTTGTGTGCCCTAATGAACACGAACGACCCTGAACTGTTTTCACAGCGGGGGATGAGGGTGATCCATGTCTTTGGTGGACTGTTTAAACAAGGCTATCCTAATTCTACATTCTCGTTAACAGGATGCCATGGTTCCAGTACCCTGTCATCTATGACATAAGGGCGAGACCAAGAAAGATATCATCCCTAACCGGAAGCAAAGGTGATTTGATGCTACACTTTTTTTGTGTCTGCAGTGGACAGTTTTTTTTTTTCAGAACATTTAATCCTGGTCAAAATGATCCTGTGTCTTGGGATCAAATAAAACCTTATCTTGTTTGTAGCATATGAGATGCTATTCAGTTTTGTTAGATGGAACACATCTAGGAACAAACTGTACCTTTTTTAAACAGTCCTTTTTGTGATTTGATTAAGGACTTAACAACAGCACTTCATTCAGTGGCCTGGGCCATTCTAAACTGTATATTTGTAGAGAATGACATCCACTAAAACTAGATCCACATCTACTGAATTGTAACGAGGTCCATTATTCCTGCTGTTGTTATTGCAACACATTGATTCCTTGGCAGGATGGATTTAATTTATTTATTTTGTTATTGCTGTGGTGTCAGTACAGAATGTATTCAAAACATTGTCTTGCCTCCTGGGTGCAGTGAGGCAAGTGGAAGAAATATTGGATAAAGAACATTCATTATTTTCATAGAGAAGGAAAGACTGGCAAACAGTGAGTGGAGGCTATGTTAAAGGCCCACTGTGATATTTACAACCATTTTAGCCTAGTGGTTAAGAGCGTTGGAGCAGTTACCAAAAGGTTGCTGGTTTGAATCCCGAGCCGGCAAGATGGAAAAATCTGCTGTTCTGCCCTAGAGCAAGGCAGTTAACCCCAAAAAACTGCTCCCCGGATGCGAATGACATGGACGTTGATTAAGGCAGCCCCCCGTACCTCTCTGATTCAAAGGGGTTGGGTTAAATGTGGAAGACACCTTTCCACTATTGCGTCTAGAAAATCACCTAAAATGGCACTGACTCTCCTCCCCATTATTGTCTCTGTCCCGGTACAGACCTGCAGATGGTGAACATCGCCCTGCGTGTGCTGTCCCGTCCTGTGGCCTCCAACCTACCTGCCATGTACCAGCAGCTGGGCAAGGACTACGATGAGAAGGTGCTGCCCTCCATTGTCAATGAGGTGCTGAAGAGTGTGGTGGCCAAGTTCAACGCCTCGCAGCTCATCACACAGAGAGCTCAGGTATACAGGAAGGGGTGGTTTTGGGAATGCTGTTTCTCTTAAAGTGATAAAGTGCTATGGTAAAGTTGTAGTAGAGCTAGGTAGTTGCTCTATTAAACTTTTGCACTACCGATATGCACTTTATCACCTTTAATTTTGTTAAATAAATGAGTCTGAAGAAGTTTTCTGCATTATGCAAAAATTTACACAACATTTGTCCTGGCTCCATGCACCTGCAGCATACTGAATGTACTTTAACGAATTGAACTCAGTAATGGCCTTCTCACTTGGAATAGGTTTTAATAGTTTCTTTTCTAATCGAAATGCGTTTTAGAATGATGGACCAATGGAACTAAAAGGGTTCTTCTGTCATTAGGTGTCCCTGATGATTCGGCGGGAGCTCTTTGAACGGGCCAAGGACTTCAACATCATCCTGGATGACGTGGCCATCACCGAGCTGAGCTTCAGCAGGGAGTACACAGCCGCCGTGGAAGCCAAGCAAGTCGGTGAGGAGGCTCACACTCATACCCTCGCTATTCCGTATATAGTAGACTACTTTTTTTTTACCAGAACCCTATAGGATTTAAAATCTTTCAAATACTAAAAACTACATTCTGGTATTTGAAAAACTAAACTGGGTCCCCATTGTTTTGGTATACAGCTGAGGGATGGGACTGGGGAAATGTAACCACTCAAAATCATAGACTGCACTCTAGATCAGGGGTTCCCCAAATATTTTTGCTTCGTGACCCACCAATTGAAGTGTCTTTTGAGTCACGACCCACCATAATTGTTGAGCGGTGAAAAAACATACAGTGGGGAAAGAATAAGTAAAAAATATTATCTTGGCAGCAGAGAAAAAAATGCTGTTTCAAAGCTAATCTCCTGCAATTCCACACATCCTGCCATGGAGCTGAAAGAAAATGTTGCCATTTTAAAGCCAATTTCCTGCAATTCTATACATTTTGCCGTGGAGCTTGATCTTTTTTGCAGTTAAGCTAATTTCCTACAATTGTACGCATTTTGACACGGCTAATGCTGTGTTATGCTCAAACATTCAAACAAAATCAATGGGGGCCTGATTGTCTAGCTTTTTATTTTGTTGATTGTAAATTCTCAAAGGCTAATATTGAAAATTATTTTGGTCCATCAGACTGGCGGCAGGATAAAGTGACTAAGGGGGCAGTTGAAATCGGCGAGGGGCCACATTTTTTGGGGCTTCTTGCATTGGAATTATATTGAATTCTGATTACAGTGCCTTCAGAAATTGTTCATACCCCTTGACTTTCCACATTTTGTTGTTACAAAGTAGGATTACAATTTATTTAATTGTGATTATTTTATTTTTACGATCTACACAAAATATTCTGTAATGTCAAAGTGGAAGAAAAATTCTAACATAAAAAATAAAAACAATACATCTTGATTAGGTAAGTATTCAACCCCCTGAGTCAATACATGTTAGAATGACCTTTGGCAGCGATTACAGCTGTGAGTCTTTCTGGATAAGTCTCTAAGAGCTTTGCACACCTGGATTGTACAAAATGTGCACATTATTATTAGATTTTAATTCTACAAGCTCTGTCAAGTTGGTTGTTAATCATTGCTCCCTCAGACTGACCATCAGATGCAGGCCATCAGTCCAGTAAAATAAGAACAGCAAATTATTATGCTCTCTGTGCTTCACAAGTAATAAAACAAATTATCTATTACCAGTGTGATCATATACCTACAATTTTGAAATATAATTTCAAAATGGTCTGAGAAGAACAACGTTGGCAGGGCAAGTGTATGAAAATGTATGCACTCACTAACTGTAAGTCGCTCTGGATAAGAGCGTCTGCTAAGTGAATAAAATAAAATGTAAAAATAGCCAATATGCAGTGATAATGTATTGGGCCTGTAGCCTACTGTGTAAACCTCATTGCTACAGAACTGTTTTTAATAGGTTAATGTTGCATAGGCTTATGTTTTTTTGTGTTTTTTTTTTTTTTAAGTGATTTAAAAAAAAATCTGAGCAGTAGATCTCTGCTTGCTTTTAGACACAAAGTGATCTTGGTGACCCAAACGCAGTAAACTAAAGGTGAATGGAGATCCAAATAACCAAAACGGCCTACTACAGTGCCTCCTGCCGTTGTGATATGGCACAATACACTTCTGTGAATCAAGTTCGACCCATATAAACAATTAAGCAATGCCAGCCTACCATAAACACGTTTCTAATACGTACAGGTCCATTTACAACCACAAAAACCAATAGACTACCAAGAAAACCTTTAATATTTAGAATGTATCTATTTCTATGATTAAACATACTGATATGTACCTATACACAGTGTCGTCATTTGGGTCTTGCATTGGGATTATATAGAACTCTGCTTATATCAATCACGCTATACCACAATAAACATACGTTCAAATGCTTTTGACCAAGAAGTGACCGGTTGGCGCGAAATCTCTGCTGCGCTCTATCAGCACCATGGACAGCGCCCTACATCCAAAAGCAAGATTTTGATAAAAAAAACAACCAGCTAGATTGTTTCTTACCTTTTCAGAGGAGCCACATTTACGTGTCCTTAAAAACAGCCTATAACTAATTTCAGAAACACTATTCCTTGTTTGGATCTGTAGCATATGCAAAACTTTATAGCTTAATGTTTTATTGGTATTTACTTTCCAAAAACAATTCATTACAGGAATCATGAGGATAATGTACTTCACTGTTTGACCAAATAATGGTAAAAGCCTCCTAAGAAATAGGATGTTTTTAGTGAGGTGAATGAATCTGCAGCCCGCACCAATGCAACCAATAAAATAAAAAGAAGTGCTCCCACAGCCAGGTGTCAAAGGGTCGCAAAGATGCGACTAAAGGGTCGCAGTCTGGAGTCCTGCCCTGTAGGCTTTTCACTATAGGCGTACTCAAACTTTCGTTTTACTACAATGATAAATACCTCCCTTTGCAAACAGTAGTAGCCTAGGCCAAGGCTCCTCTCTCGCGTTCTCTCTCCTCAGCAGCAGGGCAGCCCCGGACAGTTTGGCCGGCTACAATTGTATTTATCGGCTTTTTAATTTATTTTATCGGCCAAAAGCCAGCAATTACCGGCTAACGGAAACCCTGCATCCCAGTGGCTTTCTATAGCCCCCCTACACACACCGCGACACGCTCTGTCCATTGTGCTGACACCGAGCAGCGACGATACATATTTTGCGGCAACCTCAATCATTAGAACTTTTTAGCTATTTTTATATAGGGACATAAAACTAAAACGGCACAAGTTTCAACTGAGGGGGCTAAGCCCGCTTTTGCCCCCTTATTGAGCCGGGTACGAGGTACATTATGTGTTTTAGTCGTTTTAAGTTTGCACTGAAAGTCTTTTTTTTTCGAACCCACCTGAACCCCTGACGTGACCCACAGTGTTGGCTAATGGGTATATTTTAGCAATTACTTGAGCAATTCTTTTCACTTTTACTTGAGTAATTTTCTATTAAGGTATATTTTACAATTGGTTACATTCTTCACTGCTGATATCCACAGTTTTAACCATTTGAAGCTATGCACTAGTTGTTTACCTTCTTGTTGTTGTATAAACAATTGAGTAATGAACCTTATATTTTGGGTTATGATAAAGAAAGACAATAGTTAGACCTAAATTCTTAAAGAATCAAAGGGAAAATATCAAAAATTACAATGACCATTGAACTGCTTTCCAAATCTTGGACTGTAGCTTAAGGCTATGCTTCATTGAGTTTGCCTGATGTAGTAAAGAAAGTTCTAGAACCATTTCTCTGGTCACGGTAACGTAATCACCTCGCTCTGCATTTTCACCCCAGCCCAGCAGGAGGCGCAGAGGGCCTTCTTCTATGTCGAGAAAGCCTTGCAGGACCAGAGGCAGAAGATCATCCAGGCTGAAGGAGAGGCAGAGGCCGCTAAAATGGTGAGCTCTGAAGAGGAGACTCCACTCAACCACACGCACAGCTAAAGCCGGTCCCAAATCGCTTCCTAACCCTTCAATGTTATATATATATGAAGGGTCTGGATAGGTTTAGTGGAAGAACCTCTACAATATTGCTTCCACCTTACAGATCTGCAAACATTGAAGGGCTAAGGCCAAATGGAGGTTTAGGGAGCGATTTGGACCAGCTGTTACACTTTCCCTTCCCTTGCACTCATGTTGGTCTACCATACACACACTGCTGCATCCATAGAAATGGATGTATTATTATTTGATCTATTTCTATGGCAGCACGTCACTCTCTTGTTGTGGTTTTTAGGTTAAACAGTAGTGAGCTATTGCTCTTAATTTTAATCTCACAGATGCGACCAGTCTCCAGTGGTGTATAGATAAGATTTGTGTAACAACATTCCGGAAGTTTTCCAGAAATCCCATTTGGAAGATTCCCAGAATTAGCAGGAAATCCAGAGGCTTTCAACCAGGATTTCTGGAAAACCAGGGAATTCTGGGGAAATTACCAGAATTTTGCGACCCTAGATAAGATGGTAATGCTGGTAGAAATGCACTGCAGATATGAGACTGTACACTGATTTTGTCTTTAAAAAAATCCAATACAGGCAGGTAGTAATGCATCTCCATATTTTGTAAAAATCAAAAACAATGCTTCATTTTTGACATCTCCAACGGGATGTTCAGTTCCTCTGTTTACATCAGTTGTAACTTAGTTCCATCTCAAACAAGATGCCAGAGATCTCAGAAAAGTGATGAGCTCCTATCTACCTTGGAAAGTCTACATCTATATTTTTGTTGCTTCAAGCTCTCTGACCACTCTGAAAGGTGTTTGGCGAGATCAAGTGGATACTACATTTTGCTCACTGACGCTTATTTACATTTCTAGCTGTTTTCAAACACATCCGATGTCTGTCAGGCTTCTTTGTTTGCTTGTAGGTTTATTTTGCCCATCCGGCCTTCATTGTGTCATGAAATGTTAAGCTAACCATGTCTAAAATGGAATGAACTAAAGGTTCACCTTTAAAAAAACAAAAAAAATAACATTAACCATTTCTGGTCTACACATCATTGACTGAAAAGAACAAGTGCACTGGGTTTATCTTGATTTTATTCACTCTTTGAAATACCTTTCTGGTGCTTTTAGGACGTGTGCATGCCACATTTCACCTTTTAAAACTTTGTGTAATTTAACTGACACAACTTAATGAGTTGACTAATGTGATTTGTGTCCTGGCTGGATCATAGACAAAGCCAGACTAGTAGAACCTGCTGGATGTGGGCTAGGCTATGCCCTCTGGGGTATATTGAGGAACCAAGATGGGGATACATTAACCAATTTGCCTTTTCTTATTTGTGTAACTGTAGTTGGGTGAGGCGGTGACAAAGAACCCTGGCTACCTGAAACTCCGGAAGATCCGAGCGGCTCAGAATATTGCCAAGACGGTACGGAAATCCAGTTGTTTGTTAATCGTTCATAGGCCCTGTTGAAATACTTTAAGATTGCATCCTTCCTTCCTCCCTTAACTAATCAGACATGGTGGGATTGGTGAAAGCTATGTGATGAAACCATTGTTACATCTATCAATTTGTGTGAGATCAGTGAAGAAGGTAGGAAGGAAGGGTGGTCAAAAGGGCAATAGTGATTTATTTTTTCCTTAGCCCACTAGATGGTGCACAATGACCACTTTCTATAGCAGGATGCATCTGGATTTTAATAGTTGCGTTCCTCTCGCAAATTGACCCCTCTGTGTGCAACGGATAATTTTTTTTTTTACAATACAATCGTATATCCACGATGTTTGGACAGGATGATGGGACAATGTATCATTCCAGACATCGCCCAACCCTACTGACTACTGTTTGATCTCCAGGTGGCGACGTCGCAGAACAAGGTGTACCTGAGTGCAGATAACCTGGTGTTGAACCTCCAGGACAACACAAGCAACAGCTTCAGCAAGTATGTTCCCTTCTGTTCCCCTCAAAGACTGTTTTACCTGGGTTGTGTTCATTAGGCACCAAATGGAAGACGACAGGCTGAAACAGGGCGGGACTACTTAGACTTGTCCAATAAGAAACGCTCATTCTTGTTTTTCGTGTTGTAAAACGTTTTCCATTGTGTGCCCTAATGAACACGACCTGTATGCATTCTGTTTATTATTTATTTTATTCATTTAAAAGCACTTTGGTTTAGAGTTTTAAAAAATTATAAATATTCATATTAAAAATGAAATGAAAATAAAAAATATAACAAACAAGAAATATATATATATATATATATATATATATACATACATACATACATACATACATACATACATACACACACACATACACACACACACACACACACACACACACACACACACACACACACACACACACACACACACTGACGAAAGAGGAAAGGTGTGCCAGGGGTGGAAGTAAGCCTTAAAGGCTCAGTGTAGTCAAAAATGTGATTTCCCTGTGTTTGATATATATTTGCACATTATGAGGTTGGAATAATACTGTGATATTGTGAAAGTTATGATGATGCCCTTTTAGTGTAAACACTTTTAGAAAAGACAGCCTGAAATTTCAGTCTGTTTTGGTGGGATGGAGTTTTGACCTGCCTGGTGACATAACCAGGTGGTAAAGTACTTAATAGACCAATAAGAAAGAAGGTACCAAATCTCTCTGCCAATAACAGCTAGTTTTCAGATTTCCCTTCCCCACTCAGACCACTCCCAGACAGTCCTAGCAAATTTCCTGCTTGAAATTGCTCTTTTGCTAAGAAGCAATTTGTTTCTTTAAAAAAAAATCATTTTAATTATAAGTAATCAATGGTAGGGTACTTAATTGTTACCCAGAAATGATTTGATATTAAGATAGAAACGGCTGCTTTGGACCTTTTTTTTAAAGGCCTGCTTTAACTGCCCCAACAGTTTGAGCAGGTTGGGAGAAATAGGCTGGATGAGCCCTGAGATTATCAGCAAGGCTGTTCCAGAGACGCTTCCAGAGATTGAGGAAGAATTGAAGAACCCTGAGATGTTGAGCATGGCTGTTCCAGTGACACTTCCAGAGATTGAGGAAGAATTGAAGACCCCTGAGATGGCCAGTGTTCCTGAGATGCTTCCAGGGCTTGATGAACAAAACGTCTCGAAGAGCCCTGAAATTGTCAGCATGGCTGTTCCAGAGATTGAGGAAGAACAAGAATTGAAGATCCATGAGATGGTCGTTGTTCCAGAGACGAGGAGTGAGGCAGGAGAATACCTGGTCCCCAATATTGCGGCGGCGGGTCCTGGGGGCGTGGAGCAAAATGGCGAGGCTTGAACGTAGGGTGCGTGGATGAGGGGGGGGAGGGGTTAAGACAATTTCTTACCCAATGCTGACGAGATGGTACTGGTAAAATGCATGGGAAAGAATAGTCCTTTGATTTGATGAACTAAAAATATATTCAAAGAATATCATCAAACTGTATCTGATTGCTTGTGAACGGCCTTGTCTTAAAATGTAGGTCTACTCTTTATTTTTATTGAAACTCTTCTTTTCTTTCTTTTTTTCAGTTTATCGTTGCCGAGGTAAAGGGAAGCATCCCTGAAGAGTGTATGCATTCCCTATCTTCAATTTGAGCCATCTTTACACGTTATACCTCTTCGCCACACAGTAGTTTTCAACACTGGTCCTGGAAGACCCCTATGCAGACAGGTTTTTCTGTCCAGTCATTCACTCCTTGAATTATGTTCTGTTCAATTCGTCTTTGAAATGGCTTTCCACATATGGTATCATGTTACAGACAGTTGCCTGGTTTTACCTTGTATTAAAATGTAATGATGAACAGATGAATAGAAACCATTTGGCGTTTTTAAACCGGATTGTATCGGGGTCCTAACGGACCAGCACAAAGGAGCACTTACTTGTTAGGACCAGTGTACCGTTTCTACAAATGTCTTATCTCCTTGTCAGTGCCTAGCTCTTGGCCTGTATTCACAGAGCCTCAGAGTTGGAGTGCTGCTATACAGTAGCATTAGTTTAGCCTTTTAGATCATATTGAAAAATATTATATGGAAAGGGGGACCTGATCTTAGATCAGCGCTCTTACTCTGAGATGCTTTTTGGGTATGGGCCCTGGTTTGAGTTAACCAAACTCCATAGGGACACTAAATCAACTAACTACACAGCAGAAGCAACTCAGTGGTTTCTTACTCTCCACAAGTGTCATCACCACCCTGCCTTTATATTATTTAGTTAAATGAAGATGTGACGGCAACATGCATTGGAGAACCAACCATAGACTCCTACTCTGACAATTCCAGGAGACGGGTTCGTCCATACATTTACATAAGCAGTTTTTGTCCTGGATATACCTCAGTTTCATACCTGTTAAGTGTCATGCCGGATCTTCACGATCAAGTTTAATGCAGTGTCATGAATCTTAATGTCCTGTGTCACGAATCATGTTACACCAGCTAAATACTTATAAATGTAATGCAAATATGTATTTCTTTGGTTCATGTATCCCCCCTTTTTTTGTGTGTTCAGTGCCATTCAAACCATTTGTTCGTCTTCTGCTTGGCTCCAGAAAAAGGTCTTCATTACTGTGTATTCTTAATCCGAACTAGAGGCTGAAGCACTCAAATTGGGTTTGAATAAATGTTTTTGGATCACAAAATGCATAATCTCTAACATCAGACTTGATACAAATCTGTTTAATCCCACATGTACAATAATATCAGGCTGTCCTGTGATATTTGTCATGATACCGTGCAACAAATCTGCAGCAAGTATTTCAGTGTTTTCCATAACCGTTATGCTGGCTACTTTAACAAATTGGGGTGTATCAGATGCTAGGCTTGGGCGATATACCAGGTATTTTGAAATACTGACGGTATGCGTTTCAATACCGTTTAAGCTGTTTGGGTTATCGAATCAGGATCAACTCCTCTGTCTTCCTCGAGCTCATTTAATAATAAAATGTTAATATCTGAAGATGGCAGAAAGGCTTGTCTCTTTGGCAATGACATGGAATGGATTGTTAGCTAAAAAGACTAGAGACATTAAATCCACTCCTGGATCAAGATCCCTTTGCCTAAATTGTGTGCACTTTCGGTAATACCGTATATGATGGTATGAAAATCTGGATACTGCCCAACCCTATCAGATGCCATAAAATTAGATTTTGTAGAGCAAAACATTTGAGGTGTCGCCCCTTGCGCCATTGAAAATAACGTTTTCAATAGCGCGATGGGTTGGAATGCTTCAGGAGGGTGGTCTAGTGTGTTTGGGAGCAGAGGTCCTGAGTTGGCGTCTCGGTATGAGCTGAGTCATGCAGCGTGAAGTCCCGCACCCACCTAGCTGGCTACTATTTATTGACATTCAGATCTATCTGTCGCTTTATTGACCCCGTGATATTTTAGTAGTACCTTTCACACCCTTTGGCTTCGTTTTAGATTTGGTTAATTTAAGAAATACTAGCAGCCATGACAGAATTCAAAAGTGAGTTGGTTTCGGGGTGTGGTTTGTGTGTTCGCAGGTGGGAAGTTGGTTTGATGTTGGGTTGACTTTGGATAGCCTATCTCCCGGGCTAGTTAGGAACCGTCAATAAATTACACAATGTAAATGAGACTATTTTCATTTTGCACACCTTTTCAGTTATTAAATGCTTTCAATATTTGTATGAATTTCTACAATTTAGTTGGTTTGAGGTTTTTAAATCATTGAAATTTAGAGCTATTGGAATGCATGTTGTCCCATGTACATTTGTGTAATTTACCCTAACTAGCTCATTAGGGATATCCAAAGTTAACCCAAATGTACCACAGGCATTACAATCGGGTCGCGTGCAGCTACACTCCGAATTGATGATTTACGTGTGGGCAGGATTGAAACAAACCCAACCTTCAGTTACATTGGGATGCAGTCATGACCTCAAAACTCAGTTTTGGACGAGACTGACTTCATGACCAAAATGTTCCTATTTACACTTTTTTGTAGTAAAATTTGACAGTAGAATAAATGTTTCTGACGCATATTGATGCAACAGTCTGTTTTCTACATGAGAAGTTGGTTTTTAGGGGCAGTTGGTCTGTAAAGGCATAGTTCATTGAGGGTTTGGTTAGAAAACGCTTACATTAGCCATTTGTGGCTAGTTCAACAAAAACCAGAGCGTGGGTTTGCAGTCTCTCCTTTGCCATAGACTGCTTTCAATATCAGGAAACAAATGTAGACATTTTGGTAATTTGGCTGAACTATCCCTTAAGCCAGTGTTTCCCAAACTCTGTGCACGTTTTGGTTTTTGCCCTAGCACTACACAGCTGATTCTCAAATAAATAAAGCTTGATGATTAGTTGGTTATTTGAATCAGCTGTGTAGTGCTAGGGCAAAAACCTAAATGTGCACCCCTTGGGGTCCCGAGGACAGAGTTTGGGAAACACTACCTTAAGCCATACTATACTGAACAAAAAAAGTATAAATGCAACATGTAGAGTGTTGGTTTCATGAGCTGAAATAAAATATCCCAGAAATGTTCTACTCACACAAAAAGCTTATTTCTCTCATTTTGTTTACATCCCGGTTAGTGAGCTTTTCTCCTTTGCTAAAATAATCCATCCACGTGACAGGTGTGGCATATCAAGAAGCTGATTTAAAGAGCATGATCATTACACAGGTGCACCTTCTGCTGGGGACAATGAAAAGCCACCCTAAAATGTGCAGTTTTGTCACAAATGTCTCAAGTTGAGGGAGAATTGGCCCCGTGTAGCTCAGTTGGTAGAGCATGGCGCTTGCAACGCCAGGGTTGTGGGTTCGTTTCCCACGGGGGGGCAGTATGAAATAATTTATGCACTCACTAACTGAGCATCTGCTCAATTACTAAAATGTAAATTTGGCAGTAAGTCCAACCGGCCTCACAACCGCAGTTTGCTGATGTGAACAGAAGTGCCCCATGGTGGCGGTTGGTTATGGGATGGGCAGGCATAAAGCTACTGACAACGAATACAATTGCATTTTATAAATGGCAATTTGAATGCACAGAGATACCGTGACGAGATCCTGAGGCCCATCGTCATGCCATTCATCTGCCGCCATCACCTGTTTCAGCATGATAATGAACGGCTCCATGTCGCAAGGATCGGAACACAATTCCTGGAAGCTGAAAATGTCCCAGTTCTTTCATAGCCTGCATACTCACCAGACATGTCACCCATTGAGCATGTTTGGGATGCTCTGGATCGACGTGTACAACCAGATGCGTATCTATATTCCTCGTCATGTGAAATCCATCGATTAGGGCCAAAATAATTTATTTCAATTGCCTGACTTCCTTATATGAACTGTAACAGTAAAATCTTTGAAATTGTTGTATGTTAAGTTTTATATTTTTGTTCAGTATACTTATGCACAAGTACTCAATGCAGTTATTTACTCCTACAAAGAGCACATTGAATAAGTGCAAACTGCAATGCTTTGAAGAAACTAGGGACTTCAAATGCTACTTTGTCAAAGGTTGTGTTTAATTTTGCATTGGCATTCAGGTTACTATTTTATCTTAATAGGGTTTTCATTTATTGCTTCCCTCACGATGACTTCAGTTATTTATTGCCTTGCATGAGAATAAGCCTGCAGACATTGTTGTGGCATTGCATTTTCCCTTCCCACTAGTCCCAGAGATGAAAGACAAGGCAGGAAGGAAGGGGGAGTGCTTACATATCCTATTGTGTGTATGTCACAAGGCAAAACATTGAGATAGAAATGTTGTAGAACAGATATGGAGAATTCATGGAAAATAGACAATCTTGTCAGCCCTATATGTTATATTTCTATCTGCAACGTCCTGAACGTTTCACCTCACTGAATACACCCATGGTGTTCCATTCACGTTCCTCAACCGAGAGTTAGTGAGTCTACTCTTCAGGGTGGTTCAAAACGGGGGATAAGTGCTCTCGAGACCCTATAGGTGCCTTGCAGGGTCAAATTGCAAAGAGACTATTCTCTCTGACCATAGTGGGCGGGAAGCTTGACTCTGAATGTTCATAGGCTCAAACCCCCCTCCCCTCCCCTTTCTGCAGGGCATAAACAAGGAGGGATTACCATTCAGCTGGTCCATTTCCATGGAAATAATAGCTCACACTGACCAGCAATCTGGGCTGGTCGCCATGGCGATTCGCCCCTTCTATTACATCAAATCCCATTCCATGGTTGCTATGGCACTGCCAGTGGCTCTGAAGACTCCAGTACAGGAACATGTCTGCTTTTGTTGTTGTTTTTGTTGCTTTGAGTGGAAAAGCGCTCACATTTTCCACAGGACATCGCATTGTATGCACGTCTTATCTCTG